ATCAGTCAATCAGTTAGTTACAACGTAGGACCAGGCACATATATGCATCAGTCCAAGTTGCCATACATCATTAGCACAGCAAGACAAACATCGGATTCATAGAAGCAGTTAAATCAATGGTGTAATATATAAAAGAAAGATTTCATGTAAGGATATAGAACAGAAAGAAAGATATGAAGTATTTTAATCTCATAGTTTAAAGGAAGATAAAGAGTGTATACACTGACGCCATTGTGATCGATTCTCAGCCATGTCACACAGATTCTCCAACCACTCGTTACGATGGTCACGAGGACCCCAACCAATTAGTCTGCATCTCCCAACATAGCTCAGACTAGAAGTTAGTGACTTCAACGACTGATGCCACGTTTTGGTTTGGCCGCCTCTACATTTCTTCCAACACCAGTCAGCATTGCGCGTCGTGGTAATCGGTGTTCAGGCATATGCTGAAAGTGGCCCAACCATCTCAATTGATGAAGATTCACGACCTCATCAATTGATTTACCATCATTCCATAATACCCTGCGTCGAACCTCACTATTACTTACCCGGTGATCTCACTAGATGCGAGCAATATTAGTATACTCGTACCTAAATTGATAGATGGATATCTCGCCTTCGCCATAGGTGACGAAAGTTAGCAAATGCAAAACAAGCTTTTCGCATCCATGCTGAGAGGATTGGCTATGGGGTCAATAACCACACAAAGTAGAAAACAATGCTGCCAAAAAACGCGAAACACATTAAACAAATTCAATCAATTAAACTCTATTCTCCAACTTCAACGATCTTTATTCCGAACAATTATGACGCCTCATGGTGAAAGATTCTACCGAAGTATTCAAGATCAAACTGAAGCTAAAGAAGCAATGGACAACTGGGAAAACAGCATTACAAAGGTTTAATACAGACTTCCTTCCACATACTGACAAACTCAACCAATTCAACATAGCTCTCAACAACAGGTTCCAAGTCTTACAGGATCTACTCAAAGAAGAAGAAGAAGCTACTATGGGGAAGAACTGGAAATGGATCAGGGAAACACTAACTTCGACGTGTCAGGAGGTTCTGGGTCGCAAGGAGCATCACTAAAAAGGAGTGCGTCTCTACGGAAACTCTGTTTTGGATTCACGAAAGGAAGAACACGAGGGCAGAAGTTAACGACAATCGAACAAGAACCGAGAGATCCAAGGCACAAACTGAATACACCGAAGCAAACAAGAAAGTAAAGAAAAGCATTAGAGCTGACAAGCAGAAATATGTGGAACAGCTAGCAACGACGGTGAAAAAAGCTCCAACAGAAGGAAATATAAGACAACTATATGACACGACGAAGAAACTGGTGGGCAATTATAGTAAACCAGACAGACTGGTCGAGGACAAAGAAGGCAAGACAATCACTGAGATTCGAGAACAGAGGAACAGATGGGTGGAACACTTTGAGAAATTCATGAATAGGCCAGCTCCATTGAATTCACTGGACATCGAAGCAACACACACATACCTTCCCATAGATGTCACTCCACCAACGGTCGGAGAAATCAGTTGTGACCATCAGACAAATCAAGAGTGGGAGAGCAGTGCGACCTGACAGAGGAGGAACAAGTGCCACAGACAGACTGGAAAGAAGGACACCTCACCAAGATACCAAAGAAAAGAGATCTGAGCAAATGTGAAAACTACCGATGCATAACACTACTATCGGTACCAGGATTGGCAAAGCAAGGGCAACATTCCTATAATTCTACAACATATGAAACTCAAAACAACTGTCTCTTAACCAATATCAAAGTGACAATCTTCAATACGAACGTCATGACAGTTCTACTGTACGGAGCTGAAACTTCGAGAACTATTACAACCAACACCAAAATGGTACAAGTATTTATAAACAGTTGTCTACGTGAGATACTCAATATCCGTTGGTCGGATATCGTCAGCAACAGCCTACTGTGGGAGAGAACAAACCAGCCTCCATCTGAAGAGGAAATGAGGGAAAGACTCTGGGAGTAGATAGGACATACATTGTGGAAATCACGAATCACCAAACAGTCAAATATCATTCTTAAATTTATATAAGTATGTCTAAAACTGGACGATTTTACTGGGATTAAGATAGCAAGGATAGCAACTGCTATCCATACGCTGTAATTATACGAATTCGAAACCTATTGAATCGTGCGAAATTCGGACACGTGTAACTGAGAGCTGAGCGTCAGACAGGATGAAATTAATCGTCCTTTTAGTGACTGACTGGTACTTGGTGTCAACGATTTGACTAATAAAATATTGTTTTGGATAATTATCTCATTATTTTATTTTAACACATAGATATTGGTACAAGGATGCACCAAATAAATATGCGCCACACAAATCTCATAAAGAGTTCATCATTTGTGTGAGGGCTGTGATACTACCCGGGTGCCCAAACCGAAGCAGGTGGTTTTCTTAAGGGGCCACTCCCCGAGCCTTCGATCTGAAGGTCTGGTCCACAAGTCATCGTAAGGAGATGCAGTCCCATGGTAGCTGGTGACCAACGATTAGTTCGTACGCCATTTGTTCCCGCAGGATACTGGAGCCCATGTGCACCACTGGTTTGAAATCCGGTTAAAGCGCCGGACATTCGCTTTTCGTCCTCTCATTTTCGTAAACAACACACCCGTTACGAGAAGGCAGTGGGTAGGACTTCCCTGGCAGAGGCTATATACGCGTGGCCATGTGAGAGCATTTCGAGAGGGAGAGCTGACTCTCCCCAGTCTCGGCTGTACCAGGGCATTTGGGGGCTGTTTTTGGATAAAGTTGTGGCTAATTGTTCAAAATCTCTAGTTAATGAATCATTCTCTTGCTTTCTTATCAAATCCGAGGGTAAAACTACTACTATTATATAAAACTACGTCTGTGAATCCTAATACAGTTATCATGTGCAAGATTATATATATATATATATGAAAAATTCGTTCGTAACTGCTATCTTAACGAGGTAGTTAAACTTGTCTATGGTGAGGACTAAACCGAGATATATCATCTTTAAGGTTCTACTGAGGAAGATAGATCAGTTGAAGAGAGTTGTAAGACTTAAATGCGGGATGACAATCGCGAACAATTGATCGAAGGCTTTAAGTAAAATGGATTAAAATCGGACGCAGTTGCAAAGACAAATTCAGTTTGTCTTCTTCCACAGATCAATTACTTCTGTTTTTCTTTTCTAAACCATACTTTCTATGCTTAATATCTCTTTTATTATAAACAACAACAATTAGTATTATTATCATTATTTGAGTACTTCGACTCTAACGCTGTTTATGTCTAACCAACTGTAAATTTGAAAGATTAAATCATTTATCAAGTAAAACCTAATTTTATTTTACTTTCAATTTAATATTGATGATAATTATTTTTTACTTAAAGGGAGAATACTTATTTAAGTGTTGTATCTACACTAAAACAACAATGGTAAAACCATAATATGAAGTCAAAATCGATTAAGTTTATACATTTGGAAGTATTAGAGTCATACTATATGAAATTGAAGCTAATATATTTTTAATGTATATTAGCAAGACTGAACAAATCAATTAAAAGTTATCGCGTTATATTTACTTCATAGGTCATCTAATCACATGAAAAATAACCATGCTTACTATGAATACTAGCGAATATGTCGGTGGCAACCATTTTGTAAACTTTTAATGATAAAAAATTGTAAGGTGGAATGGAAACATTTCGATAAGGATGACGATACTACCCAGATACCATAACTCCGAACAGTAATTATTCAGTTTTCTAAATTATACATTTTAATAATAAAAATGATTAACAATAAATTGTGGCTGAGACATCTAGACACTTGACTCATCAAACAACATTTTAAATTTCACTTCGTCTAGTGAAACTAAGGGAAATAGATATTATGCTCACTCTTAAACATTATACACAATTTACAGCTTTTTATGTGTAACCAGAACTAAGGAGTGATACGATCATATGAATATTTGTGTAAAATAACAGTGTCATCTAAAAGTATCAATAGAATGCTAATAACAATGTATATTTTGCAAACCAGTACATCAATGGTCACGGAATATGTATACATTTATATAAATAAATAATTAGCATTTAGTAAGTAGAGCTTGTATCATATTGAAGTATGTGCGGATGTAGATTAGTCCTGAAATATCATTTTAGGTTCACTAGATACGAAACATTTCAGAAATTATCACGCTTAACCACAAGTCACTTAGAAGACCCAACATTTTTCATCAGTCTTCGTTTAAGAGGATGAATATATCCCTATATTTTAATTTCATTACAGAATCTGTATGCAGGGAAAAGATCCCATGGTGGTCAGAGGTCATCAATCGCACATCTTTCAACATGTCTACAATAAAGTTGGGGAGGAAGAATGACAATCTACAACGCAGAAAAACAATGTTTTAGCAGCTACGTCAACGCAGTAGTCAGTTTTGAACAAGTCAGTTATATTAGTTGGGGCACTTTTTCCTTGAGATTTTACCATAACATGCAGGTACCATGGAAAGTGGTAAAATGAAAAGTATTATGATTCATGTCTGAAGGTTAAGTTTTACGATTGAGTATAGTGGGAAGAAGGTATTTCCTATAGATAACCAGTGGTAGCACTTCATGAAAAAGAAAATGAGAGGTCAGTAATTGTCTACTGAAAACTATTCACTCGAACACAACTCGTTAATTATTGTCTGAAGTGAACTGCTGTAAGAATGGATAACACCAAGTGATAGTTAAATCGACCGGTGTTGAACCAGTAGGTTACTCTATCGATCTTGTTTAAGCCGTAATAATAACGGCGTGCGTTATGCCTGTTCATTTCCTACACCTTTACTTAATTTTGGATTTGAATTCACAAGGTGATGACTGGGATTCAAGTACGTAAATAAATGAGGAATAAACCTCGTTGACAGATGTCAGAGAATAAAATCACAAAATTATTGCCATCAACATTATTACCAAGCCTGTTAACTTACCCATAGAAAGCCAGTACGGAACACGAAAACTGGCGGAAAGGACTTGATTTTTCAAATGGGGAAGAGATTGGGCATCGAATGGAAGAGCACCACACACCATGACGTAAAGAATAACACCTAAACTCTAAAGGTGAATAAAGCAAGAGTTTACAAGTTAGGTTGGATTATGAAAGTATTTTGTAGAGAATAATTCCTCATCTCACAAATCGTAAATTTTAGTTAAGAATAATCTGCTGTGATTATGAAGAACTAAGGAAGAGTAGCTCACACTGACGGAAGAATGAACAATTTGAAGTAACTAGTTACAATAGTCAACGATCAATTAACAAGATGTTATTTATTTTTCGGCCATTCTAGTAATAAACAGCTTATTAACGCTCCATAACTCGAATTATAACAGCACTACAACAGGTAACTTAATAAGAAGAACAAAGCTATGTTTACGTGGTATAAAACTGTAGGTTTACAAATAACACTGTAAGATTGTCACACATCCAGGAAGCAGACACTAGTCCACACACATAAGAATGTGACTCAAAAGCAAAGTTTAGTACATTATTTCATGTTATTGTCGACCAACATTCTATTGGCAAGTATACAGTCAAAACCGTGTTTATATCATAAGTCGACAAGTAGCTCACTGCAATTCATTACCAAATACATATTTTGTACGTAGCTTCGAGCTAAGTCTTTTGTGTGAGGGCTAATAATATTAACCATCCACCTAATCCGACGTAAGTAAAGCAGGATATTGAAACCAATTACTTCAACTATAGAGCCAATGATCTACCTATGTCATCGGATCCTGGTCAAATATTGCACCATTTCCAGTTGTTAGTAATTGCCGAAATTCGACAATGTTGTTGCCATTATTAGTATATCTCATATACTGACTAAACTGATGCAAAACTTTGTCACTCGACCTGCTACTTTTATAACTAAATTATGTTCAATCAGTCAGTCATAAGTATTATTATTAATTCATTAGCAGGCATATGGTCGTGTACCTGGCTTCAAGCCACTCAAATTATGGGAGCTAATGACACTACCCGGTTGTCCAAACCTAAGTAGGAGGAGCGGGGTTTGTACCTTACGACTTAGTGGCTGAAAGTCAAACGCATCAGCCACCACTTCATAAGCAATGTAAAACCTGATACCTAAGTGTGCCGGTTCAAGTTACAACACTACGTCAGCACAGAAATCGAATTATCAAGATGAATACTAAAGTGGTAGAAATGTTAGTGAAAATTTAAAAACACGGGATAGGAAATGTGAATTGAGAAGAATGAATGAATTTGCATCTACGAACACAGCTTAGTCCGACAGGTAATTACCCCATGGACTGATGCTAAGTTCTGGTTTGGCCGCCACAAGCTTTCTTACGGTCTATTTCTACATCTAACCTTAACATTGTCTACTTGGTGGCTTCGCCATAAAAACGAACCGATGTTCAAATACATTTAGCCTTTTGTTACAAAACCTTAATGATCTTTACAAGACATGCAAACAGTGTGCTTATAATGGACCATCAAACTATAAATGGTTTATGTCCTGAGCGAGACAAAAAAACAATTATTGGGAATCGATATTTCAACAATAAACACAGACAACTGAGATTGTCGTTTTGTACTAGTTGGTACTATAACATATTTAATATACATCTTTCTCTGAGTGGATATACGAGATATTCAACAAAAAATGAACGCATGACTTTCTAATTCTTCAAAACCAAAAACATAAGGCTCATTGTAACCAATTTTTAATGAAATTAAAGGGGAAGAATGTATTTGTAAAATCTCAGAGAATGAATTTTGAAGTAAATCCAACGTTTTGCCTGGCAATTTGGTCCAAGCTTTTTCAAAGAAATATAATCAAACATCAAAATTATCGAATATAAATAGGTACATGGTTCTCCGGTTTACTGTTTACTGAATACGTTATCCAGTCAACGTTAACAATGTTTAAAGTGGGTATTTACATTAGTGTGTAAGAAACATGTGTGAAAAACGAAAAGTGTTAAGATAACAGATTATGTGTATATGTAAGTGAGAAGAAATTTCATTCGCTGAAATTTTACAAATACATTCTTCCTCTTTAATGTCTCACATTAACTCGGCGCCCAAATACTGTGAAACTATTCGATCAAATTTAGACGAAAGTTCTTACTCAATTTTTAATGACCTTATACGACTTGGATATTGATCAGTTCAATCATTTTTGTTTCAGAATGCTTATTTCAGCCAAAATTTAAGTTAAAAAGAACTCGAAATCTACGTCATTTCTCGATTGCTTCCGCACTGGTCACAACAAAACTATTTATTGTTAATTTTACCATTATTATTATACAGTGAAGACTGAACTTTAGATACTTAATTGAATCCTATTTAACTAAAATGCAAACAAAGTACAGATTCATATGATTGAAATAGGATTACGACTTGCTTTTCTTGATCAAAAGGTAATGAGATATTTAAATTACCAAACAATCTACGCATCCGATATAAAGCTTAATAGACGAAGAAACAAAGCCTAGCATAACTGTTATTAAATAAGCAACACCTACCCAGATATCTGCTTTGACTCCAATGTATGGTTCGCCTAAAAATATTTCAGGTGCAGCATACGGAGGACTACCACACCACGTAGTTAAAAGGTGATTAGGTGAGTTGAAATGTGTGCCGAAGCTAAAATCTAGAATAAAAATAGTTAAAAATCTGAACGTAAAAAACTAGAATAATTATTTATGACATACGTAAAAACGGAGTTTCAGTTTATTTGACTTTTTGTCCATTGAAATGAAGTTGTAGTGTATATAAGCAAATGATTCGATTCATTAAACTAAACTCAAACTTCGCCCCACATTTAAACTGAACAAAGAAAACATTGAAAAACAATAAAGTGGAGAATACTGTATGCATCATATTTGAAGATTCTCTTTTAATCGCGTAAAATTGTTACTTCTATGAATAATGTTTTGTTCATTGATTTCGATTCTAAAATTTCGTCTAACATTTTCTAAGTTGATTATACATGTACCTAATAAGTTTAATTTTCCTATAAAACAATTTTCTGGTCACATATCTAGTGGATACATAGTAACCATTTGTCTGAATTATATTTTACATTTTAATTCTATGTGAATGCATTTATTTGATTTTTTATTAAACTCTAAACATTAATTTCACATTCCAACGAGATCTTACACCAAGTGTCACAGCTTAAAATAAAATGGAATTTCCATTCAAATTAAAATTAATGTAACTTAGTAATTAAATATACATATTCGTACACTGGGCTTTAAAACAGGATTTATGCATGTTTGCTGGGCATTTTGTCTTCAAACGTAGAAACGTTAATTATTTTTTAAGACCAAAGAGGGATTCGGACTCGTAAACAAATGCTAGAAAGCTAATCACTGAAGCTATAGTTTTCCAGTTAATGAAAGAACTTTTATCATTTTCCCGTACTTCTATGATGCATAATTGTGTTGATTGATAAACGCGATTTCGTTTAACGTTTTTCTGTACACAGAAAAACACAAACGCATTAGCAACTTTCAACATATATGGGGGGGGGCAACATTTTATGGAAACTAGTGTAAAAAGTGGCTTTTAATAACATATCCCATTCTAAGTAACTCAGTTAAATCAATTAGGATATTATTCTATTTGGTGCTATGGCAACTAAATCAATACAAACAATTTGTTTTGAAATACCAAGCGGTTAGTACTTTAAAGCATTTATTGAATGTGAAAATTCGTCAAAAAATTTCGGCTTGCCTCAATGTTACATAAAGATTTTATTTCAGTTTAAAGTGAATTTCCATCAAGTAAATTGTTTTGATTAGGACACATCTACCGTCTGACGATCCATAGTATTTTTGGCAACAATGGAAACTTTTAAAAGAATGCAAAACTATAAGAGGTTCTTCCCTGACTTCTATTCGGAGCTATGGCTAGTAACGCTTAAACCCAATACGTTGCAAATTTCCGGAACTCCAACTACAGAGTTGAGGTGGATGCTTGACCTATACAATGACCTTTCATATAACGGGGCCATATCATAAACTGACCAGCTCTCCGATGTCTAGACTAGTCCCAACGTCGGAAAATGATGAACGATGTGGAGGCTGCCGAGATGACATCTGTAAAACATATCTGAACGACTGAGGGCGATATAGTATGCCTACTAAGGACCAGTCATCATTAGAATGCAGTGATGAATTGTTTGACTGATATGTGAATTTACATATGCGAAGAATCCGTATCTCCGAAGTTCGAGATATGTACAGCTTATGATGGCTAACGAGAACAATACTCAAGCTAAGGTTTATATCCAAACCATCCCAAACCCCCCAGCATTAAATAATAATCCATATAAAAAGGACCACTTCAGGATTTTATTCGTGCTTATGGCCGAATTTAGGCATCTGAACGGTGAAATACAAGCCATTTTTATGTGCATACTTAACGTATTTACTAGATCTCTATTAACAACATACTGATCTCATTATTATACCAACAACCACCATAGATAGCTCAAACATGAGTGAAAACAAAGATTATAAAAGTTCAATTTTCGTGTGAACTACCGGATGAGTATTAGTCAGATGACAGTGAATGAAAAAAGACCATAATAACAATAATCTTAAAACACAATTTATGGCATATAAATAACTAGTTGAAAATATTCATTAAAGAGATCATGTCTTTTGCGTCGCTATAGCGAAGCAGAAGCACTTAGGGTTGATTGGCTTATCCATTTTTTCTACAATGCTAGTACTTTGTTGATAACAAATTTGGAATGTCTAAAATACGGTTTATCGTTTCTTATTATGAATGCTCATGACTGGTCTATGGTGATTTGATAAAAGTTGCACGACAATCGTTTGTACATTGAAGCTTAATTTATCATCGATCGTGATACCCTATCTGGCCTATCAGGGTGAGAAAGAGAGCAGTTTTAGTGTCATGACTAATGAAATTCATAAACAAAAACCTGTTCATTTTGAGCATCACCGAATCGCCATATCCTGTAACTCCGGATCTCAACAGACTGCTACTGTCTAAAAAATATCTCACCACTACCGTTATTCTACATTTTTTGGAGCTCTGTGTTTATATTCATGCCACTGCATTTAAGTTAGTTCGCTTCATAATTACATACCCACAGCTTTTTGTTGGTTATTGTACTTTAGATTTGAACTTTGATCTTCTAAATTTTGAAGTAGATATTATTTTAGGACACAAAAAATACGATCTAAAAATATGAGAATGACGCACTGTGAGGATGACAAGTGTTGTGTACGAAATGAAAAAGTACATTTGAAGGTAATATTGTTCTTTATCAAGATCCATCTTGTTTGTTCATATCCAACCAAAGTTAAAACTAACGACCTGTCAGACCGCCAGCACAGAAGTCGTATTTTTAACAGACAGAAAATAGAACTGTACACTTTAATAAACTACCATGGTCACTAATATAAATATCTACTTAGTACAATCATATAAAAACTAACAACAAAACTTTGAAACGTAACTCCTGATTTATGTTTTCATGTATATTTGGAATATATTATGGTTTCATGTAAAGCTGTGATAAAATTGTACTAACTACCATACCTCATTATTTAGTGCTTTCAGACAGCCAACCTAGAACCTGTACGTATTTACAAGTTGTAAAGATTAATCTTTAAGACGTTAAGCAAAATCAGTGGTGTTGGATCAATGGCTTCGACTTTTAAGAATTAACACAGTTTACAACAAATCAACATTGCACCAATTAGTCAAAAATCAAATGATTATTAATTAGTATTCCATATCTTAAGATACATAAACAACTCCAGAAACCGCGTCAAAATTTCATAAAACAACCAGTATATTTGGCAATATTTACCTGCTAATTTGATATTCATTTCTGAATCTAGCAATATGTTTTCAGCTTTTAGATCTCGATGTACAATACCACAAGAGTGGGTGTAATCGACAGCCGAAAGTACATCCAGAAATTTGATCCGAGCATCAACCTCAGAAAATCTTCCATTCGTGGCTATGTAGTCTAAAAAAAACACAATATTCAGACTGAAAATAGGATGAACATGCAAATCGGAGCTATTGATGACAGTAGACTGTCTACTGGTAACTAAAACTTCTGAGTGAATTATCGCTACCTCACCGGCTACAATCACATATAGCCATATAGCCTAACAACAAGTAGCTAAGGACGATCAACATAGCGAAAGTGTATAACTATTATTTTAAAAAATCTACACAAGAGTATTTAGTAACAAGGCAAGTGTATGGTTTTTATTTGAGGCAAAACAATGAACTCAATAGCACCATCAGTATTAACATATTTGTTAAAGCCATGTATAGAAGTGAGTGTTAGACATAATTAAATTATTCCTCTTCCATCGTGCAGGAGCGTAAACCGCTCACCAGCATTCTCCACACAGCTACGTATTCGACAATCCTATCCAGTTGTTCCCACTTACTATTCATCCTTCATCGGCCTTCCCGATTTCCGTTTCCCTTCACAATTCCAAGTTAGCGCTTGCTTCATGATGCAGTTTGGTGATTTCCACAATGTATGTCCTATCTACTCCCAGAGTCTTTCCCTCATTTCCTCTTCAGATGGAGGCTGGTTTGTTCTCTCCCACAGTAGGCTGTTGCTGACGATATCCGACCAACGGATATTGAGTATCTCACGTAGACAACTGTTTATAAATACTTGTACCATTTTGGTGTTGGTTGTAATAGTTCTCGAAGTTTCAGCTCCGTACAGTAGAACTGTCATGACGTTCGTATTGAAGATTGTCACTTTGATATTGGTTAAGAGACAGTTGTTTTGAGTTTCATATGTTGTAGAATTATAGGAATGTTGCCCTTGCTTTGCCAATCCTGGTACCGATAGTAGTGTTATGCATCGGTAGTTTTCACATTTGCTCAGATCTCTTTTCTTTGGTATCTTGGTGAGGTGTCCTTCTTTCCAGTCTGTCTGTGGCACTTGTTCCTCCTCTGTCAGGTCGCACTGCTCTCCCACTCTTGATTTGTCTGATGGTCACAACTGATTTCTCCGACCGTTGGTGGAGTGACATCTATGGGAAGGTATGTGTGTGTTGCTTCGATGTCCAGTGAATTCAATGGAGCTGGCCTATTCATGAATTTCTCAAAGTGTTCCACCCATCTGTTCCTCTGTTCTCGAATCTCAGTGATTGTCTTGCCTTCTTTGTCCTCGACCAGTCTGTCTGGTTTACTATAATTGCCCACCAGTTTCTTCGTCGTGTCATATAGTTGTCTTATATTTCCTTCTGTTGGAGCTTTTTTCACCGTCGTTGCTAGCTGTTCCACATATTTCTGCTTGTCAGCTCTAATGCTTTTCTTTACTTTCTTGTTTGCTTCGGTGTATTCAGTTTGTGCCTTGGATCTCTCGGTTCTTGTTCGATTGTCGTTAACTTCTGCCCTCGTGTTCTTCCTTTCGTGAATCCAAAACAGAGTTTCCGTAGAGACGCACTCCTTTTTAGTGATGCTCCTTGCGACCCAGAACCTCCTGACACGTCGAAGTTAGTGTTTCCCTGATCCATTTCCAGTTCTTCCCCATAGTAGCTTCTTCTTCTTCTTCTTTGAGTAGATCCTGTAAGACTTGGAACCTGTTGTTGAGAGCTATGTTGAATTGGTTGAGTTTGTCAGTATGTGGAAGGAAGTCTGTATTAAACCTTTGTAATGCTGTTTTCCCAGTTGTCCATTGCTTCTTTAGCTTCAGTTTGATCTTGGCCACAACCAGGTGGTGATCTGAAGCAATGTCAGTTTGTCTGTAGGTTCTCACGTCTCCCATTGCCCTACTGGAATTTTAGTGATGAAAATACGATTTATCTGTAGATGAGGGTTAAAGCATGTGAGATACTTGTAATCTATGTATTATTTATTATTTGAACACATGATATTGGTACAAGAGAGCGCCAATATATATGCGCCACACAAAACAATGACAATTCGAAGAGAAGTATAAAAAACAAAAAAACAACTAAGGAGTGCAAAAGAAAAAGAGAACAATAACGAAGAGATTGGTGTAAAGGTAGTGTGATAGTAACGAGGGAACGAAAAGGTACAATCAGAAGAAATCTTTCAGGTAAGGGAGACAGAACCACTTTTTATGAAGAAAGTAAAAGAAAGTTACAGCAGGATCGCCACTGGCTTCTATTCTGAGCCATATCTGATAACGTCTCTAGCCACTGTGTAGCACCATCTCTCAGACCCCAACCAGGGAGTCGTGAAGGACCGACTGAAGCCAGCCTTTTGCAGCTTTCTTTCATACCACGACACCATGTCATGCACTGACCACCTCTCCGCTTTTTCCAACCAGTCCCAGAGTCGGCAAATAATGCACGACGTGGAATCCTCTGGGACGACATTCGTAGAACATGTCCAAGCCACCGAAGTCGGTGTTTCAAGATGGTGACACCAATTGAATTATCATCTCTGTGCCCGAACACACGATGCCGAACCTCTGCATTACTGATATGGTGTTGCCACTAGATGTCAGCAATCCTTCGGAGACAGCGATGATCGAACACAGAGAGTCGTCTAACGTCCTCAACTCGGAGAGACCAGGTTTCACAAGCATAGAGCAAAACTGCTCTCACCGACGCGTTGTAGATCCGACCTTTTACGGCCAGACTAACATCACGAAGGCGCCAAAGGTGGCCCAGATTGGCATAAGCCTCTCTGGCTTTCACTATTCGTGCATTGATCTCATCACTCACACCCCCACCAGCACTTATGATGCTACCCAGATACACGAACTTCTCGACTATGTCTATCTGTTCACCGTCCAGGGTGAGTACAGGATTGGAATCCTGCCAGTCTTGTAGAAGTACGTTGCACTTCGAAGGTGCAAAGCACATACCATACCTACGGACACTGATTGCCAACTGATTAAGTGCGGATTGCATGCCTTGGGCATTATCGCACAGTAAGACAATATCGTCCGCATACTCAAGGTCGAGAAGTCTTTCTCCAGGCAACAGATCCACACCACCATTACTTACATTCATCAGAGCTGTTTCCAGAATGTCATCGATGGCAAAGTTGAAGAGGAATGGTGAGATTGGGCAACCCTGCCTAACCCCACTGCTCGAATGGAACAACGGAGAGAGGTGGTTGTATGCCCTCACTCTGCCTGAGGTGTTTTTATATAGGGCTTTTAGGATGTTAATAAACTTCTCAGGCACACCCTTCTTCAATAGACAATCCCAGAGAACAGCCCTGTCCAACGAATCGAAGGCAGCCCTGATGTCAAGAAACACTACGATTGTTGGCCTTTGATAAGTATGGCGGTGTTCTAACATTTGGCGGAGGGTGAAGATATGATCAATACATCCTCGACCAGAACGAAACCCAGCCTGCTCCTCGCGAGTCAATCTTTCTCGGGTTTTGAACAACCTACGAAGAATGACGGAAGCCAATAGCTTGGACGCAATCGGAAGTAGACTTATCCCCCAATAGTTGTTACAGGAACGACGTGAACCCTTTTTAAAGACAGGGACAACTATCGACTCATTCCATGACGTTGGTACACTCTCTAGTTCCCAAACCTTTGTAAACAACGTCGTCAATTCCTTAGTCAAAAAGTCACCACCATCTTTAAAAAGAGCCGGAGGTAAGTCATCTGGGCCAGGTGATTTGTAACGCTTCAAGAGTTGGAGTTCCTTGCGGACTTCCTCCTCATTTGGTGGATCAGTCGTCACCGGCCATGGAGGGCCGGACAGTCTGACCGATGTTGCCGGAGCAGCAGGCCAGTTGAACTGCCCTCCGAAAAATTCTGCCCACCGTACAAGACGTCGATGGATGGCGTCATGCAATTGCTCATCTATACTTTTCGGTGAAGTGGTAGCTAGCCTAGAGGCTAGCTCGGTTCGATACTTATTTGCAACAAAAGTTGCAACCAGCTTGCTAACATCAATCTTTTGGTGATGGTCACTCCGTTGGCCACTGAAACGTAAGGTGAGATTGGCGCAGACCAAGGCATGGTCAGAGTCCAGATAGGTACTCCAAAAGGAGCGGCAGTCTTGTACACAACCACGCCAGCGGTAGCTGATCGCGATGTGATCAATCTGAGTTCAGGCTTGAGATGCAGAGGGAGGACGCCAGGTGGCACATCGGCGATGACTGTGCCGAAAGTTAGTGCTAGCCAGAAACAGGTTGTGGTCTGTGCAAAGTTGCAGTAGACGGTCCCCGTTATCTGACCTGCGACCAACGAGTCCCCATCGGCCACCTAAACGACTCTCTTCTGTGCCTAGACGCCCGACCTGAGCATTCAAGTCTCCGGCTAGTACTACAATATCTGTCGAACGCACTTTCTGGAGAAGAACAGATAACTGGTGGTAAAACTCATCCTTGATTGCATCCGGGCTGCAATCTGTCGGAGCATAGGCGGAGATGACGAAAAGGCATCGTTTCTCACGCCGATTTCTTCTCACTTTGATGGAACTTTCTAATCTAACAGCACATAACCGACTGTTAATGGGGATCCAATCGACTAGTGCTGCCTCAGTTCTAGCGCTTAGTGCGACACCAACGCCAGCAAGACCAGACGAAGATGCCACAGGGTCCCCGGATAAGCGCACGTAAAACAAGCTTTTTGAAGCGACAGATGGAGATCGAATTTGTAGTACTTCGCCAGAGTCTTGAATACGGGTCTCAGACAACAAACATCAATATTAAGACTTTCCAAAGACATAGCCAGCTCTATCTGTTGTCCGACCTGCATAAATGTGCGAACGTTGAAGACAGCCAGTTTGAATGGTGCACGTGGTTTCAGAAAAACTGCTTCAGTTCTCGTATTCGGTGGTAACATACAATTTTCAACCGGACAGTGACTCGAGAACGTTTAGATACAATCGAATTTCCACCAAAGACGAGCCGCTGTATAAGTATAAAAGAGGGTGAATAATGTGGAAAATAATAATAATAATAATGATAATAATAATAATAATAATAATAATAATAATGACAATAATGGTAATAATAATAATAGTATTAATAATGACAATAATTGTAATGATAATAATTTGAACCAATTGATTGTTTTTCGAAGCGAGAAAAATAATTTCCATAGACATAAAGAGTTCATCATTTGTGTGTGGGCTGTGATACTGCCCGGGTGCCCAAACCGAAGCAGGTGGTTATCTTAGGGAGCCACACCCCGAGCCTTTGACCTAAACGTCTAACCCACAAGGCAGTAGAGCATCGTGAGGAGATGCATTCCCATGGTAGCCGGTGACCAACGATTAGTTCATACGCCATTTGTTCCCGCAGGATACTGGAGCCCATGTGCACCACTGGTTTGGAATCCGGTTAAAGCGCCGGACATTTGCTTTTCGTCCTCTCATTTTCGTAAACAACACCCCCGCCACGAGAAGGCAATGAGTAGGACTTCCCTGGCAGAGGCTATATACGCGTGGCCGTGTGAGAGCATTTCGAGAGGGAGAGCGGACTTTCCCCACTCTCGGCCGTACCAGGGCATTCAGGGGGCTTGTATCAAATTACTTGAACTAACATCTATTTCTGTGACCCCCCAAGTTGCTATTGCTCGTTATTTCTTATACTTATACTCCAAACTAAGTTGTTTATAACCTTTTACTAGATGTGGCATTTTATCAACTCTAGGTTTTACGACTGAGATATCGCACTCCAAGTTAACTGTTTTCAGTCTACACAACGCCTTTTCGCTTTGCTAGAAACACTTTAATGTGGACAGCTTATGGAACATATTTCTTGACACAATGTGGCTCAAAGCTAAGCATACCAAACTGTATGTGGGAGATGATTTAAAAGGCAGTTAGTCATCGCAATGAATTTCGGCAGAAATTGAATGATTAAAATTTACCTGATAGGACCTTACACTTGATTATTTTCATTCAATAAACCAAATGAAATACGAAATCTAAAATAGTAAGACAATGAGACGCCATAATAAGTAGTCTCTGCTTTCAATTTTGTCATTTGATCTTAAACCACACAGTCGCCCCCAAATGCCCTGGTACAGCCGAGACTGGGGAGAGTCAGCTCTCCCTCTCGAAATGCTCTCACATGGCCACGCGTATATAGCCTCTGCCAGGGAAGTCCTACCCACTGCCTTCTCGTAACGGGTGTGTTGTTTACGAAAATGAGAGGACGAAAAGCGAATGTCCGGCGCTTTAACCGGATTTCAAACCAATGGTGCACATGGACTCCAGTATCCTGCGGGAACAAATGGCGTGTGAACCAATTGTTGGCCACCGGCTTCCATGGGACTGCATCTCCTTACGATGACTTGTGGACCAGACCTTCAGATCGAAGGCTCGGGGAGTGGCCCCTTAAGAAAACCACCTGCTTCGGTTTGGGCACCCGGGTAGTATCACAGCCCTCACACATATCGAATGAGATTTGTGTGGCGCATATGTATTTGGTGCTTTCTTGTACCAATATCTATGTGTTAAAATAAATAATAAATAAAACACAGTCGGAAAATTGGATTCTAACCAAACCTATTTGCGACGTTATATCATATCAAATGCAACCAAACTACTAGGGCTATGCGCACTAAAATAATGATGTCTCAAGCAGTTATGTGGTTTCCAGCATTTTATTCACACTAATTTTTAAATATCCCGGAGGCTTTTTAGTTACCAACAATAAGTTTGTCTTATTACTTGGCACCAAGTAAGCATAAGTGAGCTGACCAAAATGTTTGCAACCTTATCCATTAGAATTTTTATCATCAGGAAGATGAACAATTGTTTGAGTGAAACAATTTTCATGACTTGTGACCGCTAATTAGAGGGCAGTGACTTATCGATCGGACCAAGGACGCGTAAAACACGCGCGAGCAGCCTAGAGTCCTGCTTTCCGCCTAGCCCAGCCAGCTAAGTCCAGAACACCAGTCTCAGCCTCTGTAATATGAATCATATTTCAAACATACTGAGTTTAGATACCAGTCAAACAGACCACAACGTACCAATAATTAGCCAGATGTGGCTGTGAATGAGGGAGGTAGTAATTAATATACTGGGTATAACTCAAGAACGGTAAAACGTATAATAATAATTTGTGGGTCAAATAAAGCTTATAATAAGAGGAATATGAATATGCATAGTTTAGTTACTTAATAATTATACAATAGAAATATACGTTTAGTATTGGTCCATCAATAGGTGCCAAAAGTTACCATTCATTATTCCTGTCGGGACATAACAATACTATGAAGTACATATATAATTACCTTTCTCAGTTTTCTAGTGAGATTTATAGAACTTATTTGTCACCTAGCATTTAATTACTGATAAACATAGACCATTGACATGGAAACACTGAAATGACTATCATAATTACAAACTTTAAAAGCATGACAAGGAGTTGAGATGTACAAAGGGACTTACCAAATAGCTCGCCATTTGAAACATACTCCATTACCATACAGAGTAGTCGCTGAGTTTCCATAACCTGAAACTTATCAATACAAAGAATGTGTTTACCTGATAAAGTTTTACGATATTTGAATGATGAAGTTCCTTTAAAATATCAGATTCCCTGTATATTTTTTTGAGATTTTCAGGACTTAGACGGGATTTGTCAATGATTTTTATTGCAACCTACGAAGTCAAAAGAGAGGGAACTAACATAAATTACGAATATTCCAGTTATGGTGTGCTTGGCGAGCTTGACTGACGAGAATATCCCTTTCCCAATGGTTCTTTCAATAACATACGTACCCAACTTCGGTTTTGATGTATCTTGATCAGGGAAGTTGGTAGTTGAGGTACTACCTATGCTTGGAGCCAGCTCAGCGATGTCCGATTCCATATTATGACGGTTAGTAACTTTCCTCGTACTACAACCAGGTGCACCACACACACAAAAGTTCCCCGAATCTTTATCCTGACAATAATCAGGCGATGTTTCGGATGCTAGAGAACACTCAGTAGTACAGGGATGTCCATCAGTCACTCCATCTAGGCCAATACGGCCATGTTTGCATGCGTTCATTTCCCTTGCAGATGACTTAGCATTGAAATGTGTGCATAGAAATTATAATCCGAGGTAACCAAAATAGGAACAATCATCTGGTTTCTCTAACCCATAAATTTGTGGAATAGAGACCAAAAAAAGCAGAGTATGCAGCCGATGTACGGCAGCAGTTAAAGATTAATGGAACAAAGTTCAATTAGTACCTGACAGAATGGTTAGGAAGATAAAGCGTACAATATCCCAACTAGACAATAAAGAATTAACGCCAAGATAGAATTTAAAATGAATGGTCCAGTTCAATAGTAAACGAAGACGAAATAACCATAATAATAGTCAGTAACATATGTTACTGACTACACGTTGCAAAACAACAGCCAAGACGATCCAGAAAAATGATTGGTAAAAATAATGATATTCCGGAAAATAATTAACTAACAGAGCCGTATGACAGAAATAATAGACATTAATTTGGGTCTCAAGTGACAATAGCCAGCAGTGAACCTTCACCCCAACACTAGACTCGAAGAAGTCGCCAGATCTTTGAGATTTAGAGCACAAATTTCATTACATGATTTAAACAAACATCAAAGACTTCTGTGATGAGCCATGTGTCCAGATAATTTGATGTATCTGGATGATTACTGCATATTAAAGTGTAATTTTCGCCAGTGACTCCATACCATGTGTTTGAATAATTCTCAGTCGTATGTTATGGAGATGTCACTGTAGCGTAACCCATTATGGAAAACAAAAATAGTATATATATCGAACTATGGGACCCTAAAATCATATACTTAACAACTAAAACAGTCCTGTATTCAGGATTTGTTTGTCGTACAGAAATTAACCGAATGTGCTACATATAATATATTGTTTAGACATTAAAAACGTAAAGAACAACTTCAGACGACAAAAACGAAACCATAAGGCTGCCTTGAAAGCATTTTTATATAGTTCATTGTATTGTTCTTGAGTAGATAAGCGGAATGCGGTCTATGAAAACTATTTTTATAGGGCGACAACAGTGCAGAGGTCAATTAATCCCAGAAATAAATAATTTTGCAATTCTTTTGCTTTGACTCTGTTTTAGATAGTTTTATTAAACGTCTCCAACTAAATACGTTCGATCAAGTATCCGCCTCAGACCATTTTTAGGTATGCCATTTCAAAGATCTTTTCTGATATGTCTGATTAAGTTGCATGCGCTTAGACACCTCCAACGTTATTCATATATATATCTTTTCATCTCTATGTTTTTGACTTCTTGACCCCCTGAATTTACAAATCATTGCAAGAGAGGAATTACTGTACGACACTGTTCTGAAACGCCATACACTCAACATCATCGTTGGTAAGTTCCGCAAGATACAACACACCAAACGCTACGCCTTAAACTTGTTCTTCCTTTTAATGTTTTACATATATTTTCATAGATTGTGACATAATCCAGTGTTTTAGACCTACTCCCTCGCATATTTACAGATTTCATTATTTTTCATTATATCCAAACACATTCATAGTTTTAAGAAAAAAATAAACCGAAACCTCCAGCCTGCACTAAAGTCATTCTAGACGAATAACATCAAAGTTTTGTTTTGCTGTCCAGAAGCTAACCCGCAGAAGTGCGGCGTGTGCAGTTTCTATTTTCGGATAAGCCAATACCACACGAGTTCGTCCTCTTATACCTAGTCCTTATACACTAAATCAAAGGAATAGTGCTCGAAAATGTTATATATTGGAATTCTTTTGAGAACTGGAATTAGGATAGCCTCACACCAAAGGGGTTATTCCTCAACACAACAGCAAGTTCGGAAGACGTTGTCAGGGGTTCAGCCAGTAGTTCCACATAAACATTCTTGAAGATAGTAAATTTTCATAGGACCATATATATCACTCTAAATGTTGAATTAATGACTGAAATGAAAACTGATACGTAAGGTTACCCTGTTATATGCTAGTGAGCTCCACAAAAACAGCTTCAAAGCAAGATTTCTTTGCTTTTTTGGAAATATCACTGATATAATTATGAAGGACGGCTATTTCGCTTATTACGTAATCAAAAGTCGTTCCCTCAAATTTCACCAACTGTTGAAAATGCCACATTTACATGAGAATGCTTATTCTTAAACCAATGTGTTGTAACGTGTGGATTGCAGATTATGGAGCAGCGTATTTATCCATCGATCCAGTGACACGTAAAACACGTACGGACGACCTGGAGTCTCGATTGGCCCTGCTTCGCTGTCTAACCCAGCCAGTCGAGTCCAGAACACAAGTCACAGCCTCTGAGATATGAATCGTTGTATTTCAGACATACTCTGTTTATATACCAACCAAACAGACCACATCGTACCACAAAAATAGAAAACAACATCTGTGCAATATTTAACGAGTGAAATAAATAACGGCCAATAGGGAATGTCCATTTAAGGTCCAAGGACGTCATTAGACTTAACATGATAATGATTGGTATATTCCTCTGCATCCCTAACACTATGGACTCGGATTTCGTAATTCTGTACTTCAGCAACATGTGTTAACGAAGTGGTTGCATCAGAATTGTAAGTTTTATTTCTTTGTATGGGGACTCACTACGTCGATTCAAGCATAAATGTACCTTCAACCTTGATTCGATCACGTCTAGAAACAAATGAAAGTACCAATGATTTTGTTATATCTTGAAAAACTGATTTTTCTTGATACTACCGCGTATAACAGAGTACTAGAACACCAAAACCCTTCCAAATCGCAATAAGAAGACAGAAGACTAATGAAAGGAATATTATTCCAAACAGTGTCAATCATTGTACAAGATTGTCGGGTATTTATAGTTTTTAGTGAGAATGAAATCATCATTACAGTCTTCCAATCCGCATACAGGGGGTTATTATCATTATCCAATCGGGAAGCTACACGTTGGAATTCTAGAACATTCTTCCGAGAGGTGATTGAATGGGACGTCTTCGGCTCCTTCTGAGCCTCTTACAGCTTCCTCGAGCTCACCGGTGGTCCGTCGTCACACCTCCCTTCTTTAAAGTCCGTTGTGTAAGATTTTTTTCTTGGATCCACCTGAAGCTTGGGTGTCGCATTCCACTTGCGGTCCATTAATCTCGAGGGTTGTACAGCTTTCTCTCTGCGTCGTTTGTCTTTTCGATATTTGCGCTCATGACGGTTCTTCTGAGATGAATCTACGAGCAATTGAAATGGGAGCCGGTTTTCTGTGACCACTGTACTATCATTTCTTTGCATTTGATTTATATGTCTTATGCATTTTCCGACACCTTTCGGGACTAGGTACAGTACATTTCCGATTCGACGTTCTATGACACCTGGTTCCCGCTTCCTATTACCTTGATACGATCTGACAAGTACCTTTTCACCCACCTGAAAGCTACGATTGACCTTACGATCTTCATTCGTGGGTTTATTTGTCTTTCTGGGCGGTAACATACTGTTAAAAACTGTCCGGATTTTCCTTCCGAACATACACTCGGCCGGAGATTTTCCTTCTGGCACTGTCGGATTAGGGGTAACTCTGTAAGACATCAAGAACTTATTAATCACTTGTTCCGGTATACCCTCACCTCCCCTTTTGACCAGAGCTCTTTTAATCGTATCCACGAATCTTTCTGCCTGGCCATTCGACTGAGGATGGTACGGAGGAGATTGTAGATGCAATATGCCATTTTCACTGCAAAAGTGTTTGAAGGCGGATGACATAAACTGAGTACCATTGTCGGTCACTAATATCTCTGGAACCCCGAAACTAGCAAATAATCCTGACAATCTTCTTATTGTACTCTCCGATGTCATTTTCGGCATGGCACATACTTCTGGCCATTTTGTGAATGCATCGACAATAACCAAGTAATTTCTGCCTTGTATAGGTCCGGCGAAATCATCATGTATTCTTGCCAAGGCCCGTCCGGTTTCGGCCATGGTTGTGGTTCAACTTTCGTTGGATTATTTGCAGCCTCTAGACAGGACCAACAGCTGCGACATTTTTGCTCTATATCATGGTCCATTGACGGCCAGTAAGCATAGCTACGAGCTAGTGATTTCATTTTACTTATCCCTGGATGCCCGCTGTGGAACTGTTTAATGACTTGGTGTCAAAGATTTCTGGGGATAACGATACGATGGCCAAACATTATACATGAATGGACAACTGTTAATGACTCTCGTCGACGAAAATATTGTAAGAGTTCTCCGTGTAGTCTAGATGACGGCCATTTGTTGAGTACGCAATGGCGAACAATCTTCAATACATTATCTTTCTGGTCAGCCGCTTTGATGGCTTCGAATGTGACCGGGAGTCCGGAAACTGCGTCTGACAATATTTTGTGAACCTCGGCCTCGACATCTATAGCAGCTACAAGCACCTCTTCTTCTTTTTTTTCATGCAGGCTAATCAATCTTGAGAGTGCATCTGCCTGTCCGAAATCCGTTGTTGGTTGATACTTTATCTTAAAATCATAGCCCAGCAGTGTGGTAGCCCATCGCTGTAGCCGGTTTGCTGTATATACCGGGATGCCTTTTTTAGATCCAAAAACTGTCAGTAACGGTTTGTGGTCTGTAAGTAAGGTGAACGGCCTATCAAACAACATCTTGTGGAACTTTTTTTACAGCAAATATAATCGCGAGGGCTTCTTTCTCTATTTGACTGTAGTTTCTTTCAGTCATAGTCAGTGATCTTGCAGCGTGAGCGATTGCTTTCTCAGACCCGTCAGGGTAGGCATGTGAAATTACTGCTCCGATTCCGTAGTTCGACGCATCTGCTGCGACTATAATAGGAAGATCGGGATCATAGTGTGTAAGGAGAAGGTTCGATGATAGAAGCTGCTTCAGTTTTAGGAATGCTTCTTGGTATTCAGTTGACCAGAACCATTTATTATCCTTTTTCAAAAAGCATTTAAGAGGAGCACGATGGCGATGCAGATCTGGATGAAAAACTCCATAATGACTAACCATTCCCAAAAAAGAACGTAAAGTTGAGACATCCGTCGGTGGAGGCATGGACTTAATGGCTTTGACATTTTCAGGATCAGGTTTTCTCCCGTTCTTATCGATTATTAATCCCAAATACCGTACTTGCTCCATGTAAAAATCACATTTTTCGGCACGCAGTCTGAATCCATAGTCTGCAATGCGTCTGAGAACCGTATCCACCTTATTCTCTAAATCAGCATAGTCTGTACCCATGATCAATATATCATCGAGATAAGCCGTGGTACCAGGAATGTCTTGTAACATAGTGTCCATGACTTGTTGGAAGATTGAAGGGGCGGTCTTTACTCCAAAAGGAAGTCGGTTATATCGGAACAATCCCTTGTGAGTGTTTATTGTCAAGTAATGCTTTCACTCATCCGCTACCGGAATCTGTAGATAAGCGTCTAATAGGTCTAATTTCGCAAAATACTTACCCCCATTCAGTTTCGCAAATAAATCCTCTGGTACCGGCAATGGGTATTGATGGGCTTCAAGCGCTTCATTTAATCCAGTCGAATAATCTGCACATAACCGGATACTTCCATTAGGCTTTT